TTTGTTTCCATTTTAAACAGCCATTGGTGAGAGACGTGTCAATGTGCGTGTGTGTTTAAACCTAACTCAGTTCATTAGCTTCCTTCATACACCGGCATTTAAAGTCCTGCAAAAGAAACCCCTCTACAATTAGGGGTTTCTCCGAGGCACTGTACCACCTTATTTTGGTACAGTACCACTGTACCATCTTATTTTCTTCTAGAAAGACAAAATAGCCCTGGTGCTTCCAGTTTTCTATACTCAAGCAATAAAAGACACTGATCCCTCTGTAGGTTGATACCAGGGCACACAAGCATCAAGGAATAGGGCAGGAAAGAGTCCTCTTGAACTCCTTTCTGCTTCGGGGAAAAAGCTGTCCCTGTACAGAGGAGAACCTGAGTGTCCTCTCTGCCGCAGCTGACTGTCAGGAAGGATCAGAGGCCCCAGAGCTGGCAGAGCCAGAAGGATGATGCCGTGTGTGGGGGTTAACTGGGCAGAAATGTTGATGGAATGCATAGCCAGCCTCTCCCACAAGACGTGCAGCTTGGTACCTGCCTCTGACCACACCCGAAAAACAGCTGGGAGACTTTCTCTTCCCTCTCCCAAAGATCTGACTTCCCCTGACAGTTTTCCAAGGGAAAAAAAAATATTTTTTTTTTTGCTTTTTGGGTCACACCCACCAATGCATAGGGGTTACTCTTGGCTTTGCACTCAGGAATGACTCCTGGTGGTGCTCGGGGGACCATAAGGGATGCTGGGAATTGAACCCGGGTTGGCCGCGTGCAAGGCAAATGCCCTACCCGCTGTATTATGGCTCCAGCCCCCCAGAAAACTTTTAAAAGCACAGATAAACCCAGCACCTCTCCCTTCTAGAAGAGCAGCCCCCGAATAGGGAGAGAGGAATGGCAGAGGGGCTAGTACATCTGAACCTAGGAACCCTTGGTCATGGGACGAGTCACAGTAAAGCTTCCCTCCCAGGGCTGAAAGGTAGCAGGTGTCCAGTGGACAGTGGAGATAGATATATATATGTATATATATATATATATATATATGTATATATAACCTACTTGGATGCTCTCATTAAATTAAACAAGGCTTATTAAATTTTTTTCACTTTATCACTTAATCACTTAACTTCCCGTTAGTCGTCGATTTGCTCGAGCGGGGGCCAGTAACGTCTCCATTTGTCCCTGTCGCGTGCTAGTGTAGCCCAATGGCATCTGTTCGTTCCGGGAACATGAAGAGCCTCAAATCGATCGTTCATGATCTTGACGAAGAAGTCTGACCATCTGGTAGGTGGGCGGCCACATGGTCTTTTGACATAACGTGGAATCCATTCGGTAACAGCTCTAGTCCAGCGGTCGTCTTTAAATCTCATTACATGACCAGCCCATCTGATTTTTGGCAAATGAGACAGCGTTTCTGATTCTTGATCGTCAACGGATGTCGGAACTCCAGATTCTTTCTCTCATTTCACTTTATAGGAAATGTAATTCTAAAATGATGGGGGGGGGGGAAATCTGCTCCTAAATTGTTAATTTCTATTTCTTTCTGTAGCATGGGGTTGCAAACTCTGTTTCATGCTAACCCTCATGTTCACAATTTTAAGAATATAAATATCAGTAATTGGATGGTAGCTGGAATGTGAAAACATCATTTTGAAGGAGTATGAAATTGTACCTCTAAAATAGTGTTTCTCAATTGAGGGCCACGTGACATCCCCCCACCACCCCCTCCAGTAGGCTCCCAGCACATTCCAAGGACCCATAGGCGAAAAGGGCAAGAGGACAGCCACAGCACAAGACTGGCCGAGGGGGAGGGGGGCAGTCAGGAAGGAAACAAGGGGAAAGGGACCATGTAAGAAAGAAGTTGAGAAACACTGCTCTAAGACATGCACAGTCTTGTAATCAATATTTCCTCAAATTTTTTAATGCTGAAAAATAAGAAATAAGATCTTTACTCTAGATTCTCAGTCACTGCTCCGTAGCCTAAGATCCTAACACAGCCTCTCCTGAATATATTTTCCTGGTCACTCTTCATAATTTAAGTGCTAGCCAGCTCAGTGCTTGCCAACCACTTCTGTTTCTCTCATCTCAGTGATCACAACAACCCTATCAGGCAAGTTGTATTTTATCTATTTCACAATGAGGAAGAAAACCCTGAACATCTGGTTCGAGGCCCTACCCTAAGGACCCAGTAAGTCAGACTTGGCATTTGGATACCCCTTCCAGGGTGCTCACTATCATACTACAGTCTCTGGGTTGTCCTGAGAACTGCAAAAGAAAGTGGAGAGTTGGCCCCTAACCCCCAGTACCCCTGACATGTGTGGCTGTTAGAGCCCGTGTTTTAGGTCTTCAAAACGTCAAGCCAATCCAAGTACAAATGACCAACAAGAGGCTAGAAACTGTTGAGTGCACTCTCTCTTTTCCCTCGCTGCTCCCAAGAATCCCGGTTCCTGCTGGTAGGAGAGGTGGTTGGGTCTTCGTGAATCGCCCCATGTCTGGAATGTATGGGTGCTCATTAGGTTGGGGAAAGTGTGCCAATATCACTGTGGTAGTAAGGGGCTGATGACACAAAAAGAAAATAAAAGCAGAAGTGAGGTAAGAAAGGCCTAATAAATGTGAATTTTGCAAAGGCAGAAATAGCTGATGCCTGCTCTCCGTTCCAGAGGCCCACCGGGAGCTTTGACGGGTATTCTTTTTTCTACTTAAAGAACTAGCAATCTGGCAGGACTTTATCAACTGTAGCATGATAAGAAATGATCTGAAGCCTGGCAGACCTGGATTTGAATTTCAGCTCTTGGCACTTTTTAGTAGCGTGGTTGCTCCCCGCCGAAAGGGTGCCTAACGATGCCACTTGTCAACGGCATTGAACTTAGCTTCTCCCTTGCCTCTCTGTATGTGTGTTGTGGGAACTTTCACCTAAGTCTATTTATTTGTGTATCTACTTCAGCTGGTAACCCAACAGGTCAGAACTATGCATGCAAGGGCTATGCAGACCACAATGAACTTTACAATATGACTCACCCAGCCAGCCACATGAGTAAGGCTTCCCTTCGGGGAGTTTGTTGTACATTTGCCTCCTTTCTGGCTGGAAAGCTTCCCTCAAGTATAGTGTGCGACAATCACTGGAAATTGATGATATTTCAAACGAATGAGTCTCCCAAGCAGAAAGGAATGAATGGCATCTCCAAGTATAAACGACAGACAGGATCTTGCCACATCACCTTGTTTATTCTGTTCATGCAGCAAACACTGATGGTATATCCACTAGGTTCCCAAAGCCCTTCTGACTTTTAACTTCTTAAATGTACTAGCCTCTTAAATATACACAGTCAGCCAGAGGAAAAGGCAAAGAAAAATACTTAGCCATGTTAAAGATTGCTTGGAACGTTGCTAATACATTATAGTGTACAGTGAAGTTAAAGCACAGTGAAGTCTGAGGCAAAGAGATTTTCCTTGCCCCCAAGTGCCCCACGCAAACCAGCACCTGAGCCAAACCTGACTGAGTTTGCTGTCTCAAGGGCACCGTGCACTAGATCTCTGCTCCTTCGTTTTTAATTTCTCTTTACTTCTCCCTGTAATTTGGACTGCCCTACCTTCCTCCCCTATCGCCCTCCTCTTATTTACTTATAAACCATCTTATATTCACAAGACTGCATCTTTCAGATGCAAGACAGAGAGCCTGACTAGATGTATTATCAAAATTCGGGAATGTACTTGCTCCCTGACTAGAGTCTGCAATACTAGGAGGTAACAACCTTCCATGGATAACTTGGATCACCTCGGGATGCAAGTCATATACTTTTTAAATGCATTTTGATTTAAAGCACACATGCGTACGAGAGATAGCACAGAGTGGAAGGCACTAGCCTTTTACAGAGCCAACCTAGCTTCAATCTCTGGAACCTCAAATGGTCCCCAGGCACCACCAGGAGTGATCTGAGTGCAGAACCAAGAATAGGCCCTGAGAACCACCAGGTGTGTCCATCCCCCCCGCCAAAAAAAGCATATAAAATGATTAGTTAATGGTCTTTCTCAAGATATCTGAATTCAGATGGATTGACCCAAATACTCAGTCTCAGGCTCCGTAGAGAAAGCCCTCAGGAAGGGAGTGCCCACTGTCACTCCGTTCGGGCAGAGAGTGAGCTGAAGGGCCCCACAGACCCACGTTTCCAAACCCGTTCCTGGTAGTTGCATGATTGTGTCACTCTGGGAAGTAAGTTGACCAGTTTAAGCTTGAGTTTTCCCATCTGACAAATGGAGCCTCCTCCACTTTACTTTTTTCTACACAATTGGCTAACAGAATTCAGTGTGTGCTTGTGTGTGTTTGTGTGTTGTGTGTTCTATAAAGTGACACATAGAAGGCACTAAATATAAGCTCCTCCTTTCTACTCCAGTGCTTAGGGGCTATTCCTGACTCTGTATCTGGAATTACCCATGACAGGGCACAAGGGACCATATGTAACGCCTTGGAAATGAACCGGGGCTGCAGCCTCACCCAAGGCAGAGCCCCAGGGGTGCTTTTTCACTTGCCAAATATGGTTGAGAAGCTTCTAACAATCGTCTAAAGTCTAAATGGAAGCCAACTGTCAGCTCTGCCCATAGTGTTTTCCTTTGTGTTTTCCTTGCCATTACCACCAGTGGGAAGAGCAGGGCAGGGCCTCCTGGTCACCTTGACCTGCCCACTGGTCACCGCCTCTCATCGGCCTGCTTTACCTGCAGGGCCTCAGCTCATCACCCATCAGTATGCAAATCTGTGTTTCATGTACTTGAGGACCTCTTGAAAGTTACTAATCAGACTCTTGCAGGAATTATTTTCTTTTCCTTCCTTATAAAATTACAGTGATCAACCTTAGTAATCAAATATTCTCCACTGCTTGATAGTTGAAAACACTTGTTCTGGGGACTTTCTCGTATAAGAAAGCAGTACGCCATGGCACGATAGTCACAGTAGGGAGCTTGGAGCAGAACTCATGGCCTGCTTCTGCCAAACAGCAACGTTCTCAATTGTGTCTTCAGCTTTTAGGACGCTCCAAAGATGACTAAAGACGATACTGCTGTCCATTGCTTCCAGGGCCTCCTGATATTTGGAAATGTGATCGTTGGTGTGAGTAATGAGTTGTCTTCTGTTTCTTCGGTGGGGAGGAGTCGGTGTGGGTTGCTCACCAGCTGTGCTCAAGACTTACTCCTGGCTCTATGCTCAGGGATCACTCCCAGCAGAGCTTGAAGGACAATAAGTGCTTCTTGGGATAACACCTGGATCGGCTGTGTTTCTATACAGAAAACCCAAAGTACCTTACCTGCTTAACTATACTATCTTTCTAGTGAATGAACATTTTTCTTTTTTCTTTTTTTTCTATCGTGATCAAACCTGGGGCAGCCACATACAAGGCCTGCACCCTACCCACATCACTCTACCCAAACCCTAAGGAATATTTTCCGAGAAGTTCTATTTTTCCTGTAATCATAACTGTAGATGAGTCAAAATTGAGTGTTTAAAGGAAAATTACTATATCTCATTTTAAGAAATATGTTAGAAAATTATACTAGTTGGAACTTTATTTCTAATTACATATTGTCATGATGGACTGGAGCGATAGCACAGCGGTAGGGCGTTTGCCTTGCACACAGCCAACATGGCCGAACCGAGTTCGATTCCTCCGCCCCTCTTGGAGAGCCCGGCAAGCTACCGAGAGGATCTCGCCTGCACAGCAGAGCCTGGCAAACTACCCATGACGTATTCGATATGCCAGACACAGTAACAACAAAGTCTCCGATGGAGACGTTACTGGGTTCGCTTGAGCAAATTGACAAAATATTGTCATGAAATATTACAAAAGACCATAACTGAAATAGTTATTTTCTGTCCAACATTAAAGATGTAAAGGTGCTTTAAACACATTAAAGTATGTAAAGGTGCTTTTCAAGCATAGTCAGTGCTTACACACATACACACACACACACACACACACACACTCACACACACTTGATGTTTCTTGCTTGTTTTCCCAGGGTTAGATTTCCCTGGGGCTCTGCTGCTCCTACTCTTGGGGACAGATGTGAGTCTTGTTCTTACCATACGGAGGCCAGGATGTGAGTGGACCCAAGGAGGGGGGAGGGCGTGATGAGTGATTCCGCTCCGTTTCATTCTGGACAAGCTATTGCCTGTCAGGGCCCTGGTCCCTCATGTGTAAAATGCAAATGAAAAAGAGAACCCCCAACTTTCCTGCCACTCTAACTAACATCCCCTGGCTCTTGAGTACCGATAAATACAACCAGGGTTAGCTGAAAGGTTACAGTCCAGAAATATGATCAATGAGGTGGTGAGCTGGAGTGATAGCACAGCAGGTAAGGCATTTGCCTTGCACGCGGCTGACCCGGGCTGACCCGGGTTCAATTCCTCTACCCCTCTCCGAGAGCCTGGCAAGCTACCGAGGGTATCTCACCTACACAGCAAAGCCTGGCAAGCTCCCATGACATATTCGATATGCCAAACACAGTAACAACAAGTCTCACAATGGTGACGTTACTGGGCCCGCTTCGATGAACAACGGGAGGACAGTGACAGTGACAGAGGTGGTAGAAGGTGAGGGGGATCACCCCACGAGAAGCTGTTGCATGAGTGTTCATAGCTAAAAACCTAGAAAGGGTCTAAAATTGTCTGAGTCCTTTCCTAAATGGCACAAGACAAAGTGACCTGAAGAAGGAAGCACTTAACTGCCTGTGGGACAGACGGAGCTGTTGGTGTCCAGACAATGAGGAGTTTGAGTCAGCCATCAGGGCCCAAGCCAGGGACAACTTACTCTCTTAGCACCCACCCTTTTCCCCTTCCGCTTTCCTGGCCACTGGCCTGACAGAGTGTCTTCTGCTCGCAGATGTGTGGCATTGCCCTCACCGCTGAGTGCATCTTCTTCGTGTCAGACCAGCACAGCCTTTACCCGCTCCTGGAAGCCACCGACAATGATGACATCTATGGGGCAGCCTGGATTGGCATGTTTGTGGGCATCTGCCTCTTCTGCCTTGCAGTGCTGGGAATCGTTGGCATCATGAAGTCCAGCAGGAAAATTCTCCTAGCGGTGAGCCCTTAGCACTCTCTACAGTTGTCTCCTGATCAATTCTGATAGGTTGCGTCTCCTTCCACCAGCTCAAGGCTTTGATAGCGTGGTAGGTGTATGCAGAGAGTGAGAGAAGAAGCAGAGGGAGTGAAGAAGAGCAAGTCTCTCCCCACAGTGAAGGTTATCCCCCCCCCAGGAGGTGGGAGCAGGGATGCTCTCCACAATGGCCAGTACAGAAGATTTCTATCAGAGAACCCAAAGAAGAGACAGCTGGGGATGATTATGATTTACTGCCCAGGTCTGGGCTCACTGCTGTGTGTGAATGTGCCCACCAAGTCCAACCAAGAGTTACATGAAAAAAAGAAACGGCAGAGGGAGGACTAGATTATTGACAACTCATTTAAAAATATTTGAATATTAACCAAGCATTAATTATTATTGATTTTTTATCAATGAGAGGATATGACATATTTGTGAATTTTCAAGGGAAATTATGAGCATGGTCAGACATTTTTGAGCTCATGGCTGATGAGTTTACGACAGTTTGTACCTCCCATATATTATTGAGTCTCTCTGCTTTTCTGGGACATAGAAAACACTAAAAAAAAAATAGACAAATACAAGAGCACTGGGAAGTCCAGCTGCAATTTCTACCTGCCTGTGGTAAAGCTCAACTTGTCCTGGTAGAGCTGTTCTGAGCTCCAGATGCAGACAGGCAAGGTAGAGGTGGCAAGGGGGTGCCTTTGCAGCAAGGTCCAGCCAACAGAGCTGAGAGCCCCTGCTGTGCCCCATGATCAGGACATCTGTCTCTCACAGGGGGCTGGATTCCCACCTCCTTCCCCACCCCTGCCCAAATGCCACAGGACCTAAGTTCCACCTTTCTAGAACAAGTCCAACCGCTCAAGGTGCTAGTAGTTTGCCTGTCAGCTAAGCTAACACTGACCCTGTCCCCATCCCCACGGAATGCAGCACACTGACGTTTTCTGGTTTCTTTGAGTCACTTACAGGGCAAAGAACCTGACTTAGGAGGGTGGGGAAAGGAATGAAAAGGAAAGGGGGCGGAGGAGCTGCTCCCTAGAGACAACATTCACCTGTGTCTCAGTCTTGCTCTGGGCAGCACACATGCACACAACGTGTGTGCGTATGTGTGTGTGTGTCTGTGTGTGTACCTGTGTCACAGCCAAGTGAACTCCACCGAAAGTAATAGTCCTCATCATTCTCTGCAAAGAAGAGCACACGCTCTCCAAGGGACTGAAAGAGAGACACCCCCGAACCCTCCTTTTCAGAGTGACTCTGATGAGTTTCTCTCCGTCCCTCTGTTCTCTGCCCCTTATCTGCCGAACTTTCTCTCTTTACTCCTCTTCATTCGGATCCTAGCCAGTGCTGCTCTCGGCCTGGGAGCCCTGGCCCTGCTTCCCTCCAGACTCCCAGCTATGAAGGTCTGACCATTCAGTGCTCAGTCAGCACTACATGTACTGGGGGCTGAGGCAGGGTCGAGCAGGGAGTGGGCAGCAGTGCTCAGGGCAGTGCATAATGTCACAGATGGAACATACAAGGTGCGTGCTTCACTCTTTTGAACCACATCTCCAGTCCCTCAGGGGTTTCCTCTGAAGTGGAGCTCACAAAACAAGCTCCCACAGAGAGCACAGTAGCAGTGAGTACAGAGACGCTTTATGAGACAGCAGAAGGCCCCCCACCCCCGCCCAGCCTGGCTTACTTTCAGTCCTAGCCTTTATTCTGGCAGGCTGGTGAGGGCAGCAGAGGGTCCTGCTCTTTCAGAAAGCCTCCCCTGCCCGGCTGGTAGCTCCTCCGAGCCCCCTGATGCGGAACACAGACCCCCTTCCCCACAAGCCTGGGGGCCAAAGGCTGAGAAAAGCAGACAGAACTCCCAGGCTCCACACATAGACTCCAAGGCCACCTGTTGTTCAAACAGTTCGCAGCCATAAATAGGTGCAGTGTGGTGTAGGGGTGGCCCATAACACACACACACACACAGAGAGAGAGAGAGAGAGAGAGAGAGAGAGAGAGAAACAGTGAAAGCTGCATGATTACAGGCTTGGGTCCACCCTCATAGACTGGACACTTGGTCTGGATAATGTTTTTTAAACATGATCCTGTTCATTTTTTTCCTGACCTCTGCAATACTAAATTTTTTGTGAAGCATAAGGAAAATTTCTCCAAAGAGAGAGTATATTTATGAGGATCTACATACTTTGCAATATATCAATTCTCTTGACAACCATTCAGACACATATTTATTCTTTTGTATTGATTTTTCCCATTTTAAAACATAAATTTCAAATACTGGGCTGAGAAATCTCTGTTTTCAGAGGCTGCTTATTCTCTGGAGAAAAGGAGAAACCAGAACTGATTAGCACCTTGTACCAAGTCTTGCCCAAGCAGCTGATATCTGAGGGTTTGTTGAATATGCATAATTAAGGGATGATTGTATTTAGATGAATTTGCTTTTAAAAATGTAATAATTAACTGCTATTTCTTGTAGGGTCTTTTTTTAACATGTCTAAAGTGGCATTTACTACTAATAGCAGATCTAGAATGCAGGTTTCTTATTGTTCACTCTAAAATCTTTGCTGTCATATTTTGTTAACTTCAGAAGCCACCTAATATTTCTCTTCTTTTTCCACTTCGGTTAAACAAATTTGTGAGAATTGTTGTATCTCACCATGGGGACATTAAATCCTTGTCTGAGGGTTTACTAAGCGGTTGTTGCAAATTAAGTCTTCTGTGTGAATGTTTTTGTTAGTCGAGATTTTTATATTCCCATCCAATCTGGTGAGCTCCTACCTGGATGTTAGTATACTTGTAGAGTTCGGAGATGTCTCTTCAGAAAATCCAGAATATTTAACTGAGAAATCTGGCAGGAGACTTGGTGGGAGCTGTGGAGTGTGAGTGTGACTGCTGAGGTTTTAGGAGGTTGAGAACTTGGTCTGTGCCCCCCCACAGCTCAGCCTGGAGGTCTCAGCTAAGACTGAGTGTTCAGATATCAAGAAATTTTGGCGACTAGTTGAGCCTCTTCAAGATTTATTTCTGAGTCTCTGGAACAGGCCAGTACATGAGCTTTCGTGACAGCGACCAGTGGGATATGGGGGTGGCTCTCTTCTGGTTGTATCTTAGAAGATCTCTTACCTTTCTCCTGTTTTTTTTTTTTCACCAGTATTTCATTCTGATGTTTATCGTATATGGCTTCGAAGTGGCGTCTTGTATCACAGCAGCAACACAGCGAGACTTTGTGAGTATAATAAAGTCAAAGAGCACAGAATACTGTGATGACAGCCACCTCATCCTCATGATCGGTGGCCTTTCAGGTAGCCCTTTCTCTATAGCGGGTTCTCTAAAATGCACACGAAGAACCACAGGAGAGTTTTACTTACTCTTCCCAATACCTCTATGAAGACGTCCTCATCATATTGCCATTTTGTAGTTGATAAAAGGGGACCTAGAAAAAGCCAAAGTCGCTTGTCCATAGTTAGACAGCTTTATAAGAGTTAAGAGGAGAATTCTGGGAGCCGAAGAAATATTACAGCAGGCAGGGTGCTGCCTTGCATAAAGCCGACCTGTGTTCATTCTCCAAGACTCCATAGGTTCTTTGACCCTGCCAGGAGTGATCCCTGAGCACAGAGCCAGGAGTAAGTCCTAAGTACAGCCAGGTATGTCCCAAAACCAAACAAACAAAAAAGCAGAATTCTGGACCCAGGGTGTGTGATTTCCAAGCTTGGGTCTCACTAGGACTCCTCTCATTGGTCCCTTCCTTTCTCTCTGACGATGACTCAGGGTCACACACACTCACTTGTTTGCGAGGCTCAGGTTGTGGGTGATGGTGCTCATTGGAGATTGCACACCAGGTTTTGGTGCCCCACGCCTGGACATGGTGCTCACGATGGAGGTGGGGGGTTCACATTCTTTTTTTTATCACAGTGCTTTTGGGGAGGAGAGTCACATCCCTTAGTTATGGTGCTCACACACTCCTGATTGTAGTGTGGCCAGAAATTGTTTGTGGTACCTGGGATCACAAGGAGCAGTGCTGCTGGGACTGTACCCACAGCACACAACAGAAAGGTCAAACTCACACCTCATGCTTGAAAGGCCAGTGAGCCATCTCCCAACCCCTCACTGGAATTTCTTTTAAATTAAAGATCTTAGGGTTTGAGAGAGTACAGTGGGCAGGGGGCTTGCCTTGCATGTGGCTGACCTAGGTTTGAATCCTGCCACCCCGTATCAACCTGCCAGGAATGGTTCCAGAGTGTAGAGTAAGCCCTGAGCACGACTGGGTGTGGCCGAAAAGCCAAAATAAAAAATAAATCAAGGTCTTGGGTCAGAGAAATAGTACAGGAGGTAAGGCACTTGCCTTGAAGGCGATTGCTTTGATAGATTCTAGTTGAATATCCTGGCACCACATCTAATCCCTTGAGCACCAGCAGGGAGCAGGAACCATTCCTGAGCACAGAGCAGGAAATAGTCTCTGAGCACTGCTGGGCATAGCCCACTTTTGGCTAATTGCAAATTTCAAATGAGGTTCTTCTGCATCCACGGAGACCTCAACAACCTAGAGCACTACCACTCCTCACCTAATTGGAGCTTCTGAGCATTTGTACTCCAGGAGACAATGATGCTCAGTGCTCCCAGCAACAGACCAAAAAAAAAATCACTTTGCCTCCTTAGGGATTTGTGTGTTAACCGTCCATCTGTTGTTGTTGTTGTTGTTTGGAAACAGGGGCGGAGGTGTGGGGCTGAGGGGCTGGGAACACTCAGCAAAGCTCAGGAGTTACTCCTGGTGATGAGCAAGGACTATACGAAATGCCAGGGATTGAATCTGGGTTGGCCACAGGCCAGGCAAACCCTCTAATCACTGTACTATGTCTCCAGTCCCGTTAACTCTCCGTCTTATGTTTCCTCATCCCACCATAGTTCACACCCAACCTCTTCTTGAAGCAGATGCTTGAGAGGTACCAAAATAATACTCCTCCAAACAACGATGACCAATGGAAAAACAACGGTGTCACCAAAACCTGGGACAGGCTTATGCTCCAGGTAACGCCTTGTAGTCTTGGGTGCTGTTTTGAATGTAAACCAGCGTATGTGTGATTGGAAGGGCTATCTGTCTGATGGGAAGATAAGTCAGCCTCCAAGGGGGTTTTCTTTAAAAAGAGACTTGATATAAGCATAAAGGCCCTCCCGTTGATCGTCGATTTGCTCAGAGCGGGCGGAGGAATCGAACTCGGGGCTGGAGCGATAGCACAGCGGGTAGGGCGTTCGCCTTACACGCGGCCAACATGGCCGACCTGAGTTCGATTCCTCCGCCCCTCTCGGAGAGCCCGGCAAGCTACCGAGAGTATTCGATATGCCAGACACAGTAACAACAAAGTCTCCAATGGAGACGTTACTGGGCCCGCTCGAGCAAATCGACGATCAACGGGAGGGCCTTTACCTTTACCTTTACCTTTTGATATAAGCATATTCATCTAATCCTCTCATTTATTGGAGGAGGGAGGGAAATGTTGTATTCATTAATCAGTGAAATCCCTAGATCTCTATTTTATTTTGAAACATGACGTTGATCTCTGTTAAAGTTGCAATGGCATTATAAAAAAATTATATTGGAGTCTTAAAACTCAGGCATCACTTACATTAAAAGAAAAACATTGAGCTAAGGAGATAGCACAGGCAGTAACCGCCTGTGAAGGAAAGGGAGGGAGGGAGAGAGGGAGGGAGGGAGGGGGGAGAGAGGGAGGGAAGGTGCTCAAGAGACAATATCCATTTATTTTGCTTTTGCCTATTTAGTGCCTTTTCATATTTCCTATGAAAACCATGGGCTGCCTTGACGTGATCACGCAGTTTTTTTCCAACTAGCATTCAGACCTTATATCAAGACCTTAAATATCCATAATTCCAAGTCTTTCAGAATACCTGTTATCAGGTCTACATTGTTTTATGTATGTAAATTCTTAATCCCGTTCATTATTCCAGGTCTAGCTCAACTGTCTCACTGCCCCTCTAATTCTCTTCTACTTTCCTTACCCACCCAACCCCCAACAATTCAATCTATCACCAGCAAATTCCCTTCTTTGAACTGGTTTTACCGTCTCTTGCATCTGCCCTCTTTATTTCCTGCCTCAGTTTCTCTTTCTTTCCTAGTCAACACCAATGACTATAATTGAATGCAGTCTCCTGTTTCACCAGAAGACTTCCTGTCTCCTGTTGACCATGCCTGCTCTCCACCCTCTCATTTTTTCCCATTTCCTATGATCCATAAGACCTAGGAATTGCTTCAGTATCCTTTTTGCTCCCTTGATTACCATTCCATTCTCTTCTTTCATTTCTTCTTCAAATATATGAAGCTCCTGTTATCAGTCTATATTAACCATAGATAATGATACTTTCTGTGACATAGAAGGACTGCACTCATTTGTGGAGTATAAAATGACATAACACACGACTGACACCCAAGGACAGTAGATAGAAGGCTCAGGAAGATTGCTCAATAGTTGGAAGCCTGCCTCATGAGCAGGTGGGGAGAGGACAGCTGGAATAGAGAAGGGATCACAAAGAAAATGATGTTTGGAAGAATCGGTCGGGATTGGAGATGTATGCCGGAAGTAGATAAAGAACCAAACATGCTAACCTCTCAGTATCTGCATTGCAAACCACAATTCCCGAAAGTAGAGAGAGTATGGGGAATATTGTCTGCCATGGACGTAGTGGAAGGGTGGGAAAGGTGGGGGTATACTGGGGATATTGGTGGCAGGAAATGTGCACTGGTGGAAGAATGGTTGTTTGATCATTGTGTGATTGTAACTCAGACATGAAAGCTGATAACTGTATCTCACAGTGAATCAATGAAAGTTAAAATAATAATAATAATGTCTATTCAATCAAATTCAAGGGTCTTTCTTCTTTTCCATTTTGCTTTCTGGTGATTTAATTTCCAGGGAGCTTACATGTTAGCATAGAGAAATTGTGTTTCTTCTCAAAACCTTCTTTCTATACTAGCTTCTACTAACACTTGCTCAAGCGTAATCTTTAGTTTATTTATTAGTGATGTCTCTAATCTGTTATGTTGTCAAGAAATCAAGCCAACTTTCTTTTCATCTTCTTCCATTCATCTACTCTGCCCTGTTGGTTCTATCTGGGAAATATCTGGCCGCATTCTCTGTGCTACACTGGCAAAATAAAGCTGAGTTCTAGGCAATTTACTCAACTATGCTCAACAGATACTCAACAGATGCTCAACTATACTCAACAGAGCCTGCTACTGATATGCTCAGTGAGAGACTCCTAGTGGTCTAGTGAACTTCCAGAGAGGCTCTTTGACAATTGAGAGACTATTACTCTTTGTATCTGGGCATTAAACTACATTTAACCTTTACCCTATGCCCTAGAGTATGATATCCTAGAACAGAAATGGCACACAGCCCTCTCTCTGTCAGTGAACCAGACCCATTCTACCTTTTGCCATGTCGTATCTGATTCTCCTCCTCCCTTTAGTTACACAAATTCTTCTTGCCTTCAGGGGAGAAAAAATTTTCATGTCATATCAAATTTCTACCTTTTGTTTTTAATGGGTCTAGTATGAGTCAAAGTTGTTCAATTGCATGTTGGAGCCCATTCGTCGGTTTTGAACTCAGTTTAGTGGGTCACAACATCTTTTTAGTTTCAGATCTTTTAGGGGCTGCAGGCCCCTATAATGATGCTAGGAGACAATGTGGTCAAACCCAGTGGTGCTTTGGGGTTCACGGAACTCAGGGTCTCATATAAACTAGGCGTGGTCTTCACCATTCAAACTATGTCCTCCTCTTTTCAGCATTTTTAAATAAATAAAAAATAGTGATGTAGCATTAGTACAGTGGGTGGGATATTTGCCTTGCACACAGCCAACCCAAGTTTAATCCCCCCACCCCATATGGTCCACGGAGCACCACCAGGAGTCATTTCTGCATGCAGTCAGGAGCAACCCCTGAGCATCACCAGGTGTAACCTCCCCCCAAAAAAAGAAAGAAAGAGTTAATGTTTATGTATGTCCCACAGCATAAACAAAGTTTTATGAGAGCTTTGTTCCAGTTTTTACGAAGGTAGAGGGTAATGATTCAAATGGATTAAATTTTTTTTCAAAAGAAACCACTTATGTAAGTTTTGTCCTTTCCAGGCTAAGGGGTTGGAGTTTGTACTTAGCTTTTAAATTTCCCCCCAGATTATTCCTCCTAGTGAGACTTTCTTCTCTTTTCAAGAATCTCTTTTAGAAACCAATGTCAAAATTGTATCTTATCTTACTAGATTGTTTCATTCCTCATCTCTCTGGGGAAATTCATTTTAATGGGAAAGGTACTGAAGACAAATGAATTGTCTAAAAAAAGTAGAATTTTGTCAGGCAAAATACTTTTGCCACATTGAGTGTTTCACTTAAAACACTGTGAAAGTAGATGTTTACTCTCTGAATGTTTCCTTTTTAGCTGAGACTTTGTGTGAGACGGTGGCATCTATTGGCATGTTGCTTTATTGCAGTCCAGTTCTCACATCGCCTACTCCAAGCCATCTCCCCGAGATGAAGGGATGCGGGCCCACCAGGTCCTGCTACACTTCAGTTCTTTATTTCTGTTGGAAAAAGAATTCAAGGCTAAGACATTGTAGATTATAGCAGAGATTTAGTAAAGACAGAATACACACCCAAGGTGTGGATGCAGGCTCTCTCCAGGAAGAGAATTGCACTGGGTTTCAGGGGAGGAGGTTTTCCTAAGGAGAAGAGAGTGAGAGGTTGAGCATGAAGATTTGGGCATGAGCAGCATAACTGGGGTGGTGCCAAAGTTGAACATATAGATAAAGACTACGTGCTTACTTAGGGCTAGAGCGATAGCACAGCGGTAGGGCGTTTGCCTTACAAGCGACAAACATGGCCGACCCGAGTTCGATTCCTCCGCCCCTCTCGGAGAGCCCGGCAAGCTACCGAGAGTATTCGATATGCCAGACACAGTAACAACAAAGTCTCCAATGGAGACGTTACTGGGCCCGCTCGAGCAAATCGATGAACAACGGGAGGACTGTGACCTGTGACCTGTGACATGCTTACTCACATATCTGAAGTATGATTAGCATTTAATTATGCAACCTGGGGGGGGGGAGGGAGCAATGTAAGTTAATATGTGTTTGGGGCTTAATGAGGATTAAAATGAAATAAGGGGAGGGGTCTGTTTGCTGAGCACGCTGTGCCTTAGCCGAAACTGGTTTTCCAGAGTTCCCTCTCAGGAAGTTGGTAGCCACAGACTACCTGGGTTAGAAGGGTTTGTTTGCTTCTGGGCCTCCTCCCACAGTGCTCAGGCCTTAAACATTTGCTCTGTGCTCAGGGATCACTCCTGGAGGGACTCAAGGGACCACATTGGGTGCTGGGGATCAAACCCAAGTCAGCTGCATGCAAGGCAAGGGCCTAACCACTGTATTATCTTTCCACCCTCAGTCTTAAGGCCCTTTTGTCTCAAGATTCCTCTGTTCTTGGTTAGGCACAAGGTTCTCCCGTTGATCGTCGATTTGCTCGAGCGGGCCCAGTAACGTCTCCAATGGAGACTTTGTTGTTACTGTGTTTGGCATATCGAATACTCTCGGTAGCTTGCCGGGCTCTCCGAGAGGGGCGGAGGAATCGAACTCGGGTCGGTCATGTTGGCTGCGTGCAAGGCAAACGCCCTACCGTTGTGCTATCGCTCCAGCCCAGTTAGGCACAAGAGGGAGTCTAATATACTTCTCATAGCGATTTCCCCATACTGTCTCCTTTTCCCTTTTTCTCACTCCTCCACAGAACCCATCTAACTATCTAACTGTAGCATATGTGTGTAACTTATCTTTATTAACAAAAGTTAATAAGATTTTTTCTATTTTAATAGTTTTTCCTAGCTTTATTGAGATAAAGCTGTGTAATTTTGAAAGCATTAACACTTCCATCTTGTCACTTAATGTCATCTCATCTTGTGATGAGAACATTTAGTATCTTTCAACAATTATCCAGTGTAAAGTACAGATTGCTAACTATGAACACTGAAGCATAGATCCCCAGAACATAATCATTTTTTATATTAAAAAATTTTTAATAGTGAGACATCATGAGGTACAGTTGCAGACTTACACATTTTTGTGCTTGGGTTTCAATTATACAATTATACAGTGACCCATCCCTCCACTAATGCCCATTTCCCACCACCATGGATCCCAGTATCCCTCCCATCCCCCTTCCCCCCATCCCACCTGCGTCTGTGGCAGGGCATTCTCCTCTGTTCTCTCTCTCCTTTTGGGTGTTGTGGTTTGCGAAAGAAACATTGAGTGGCAATCATGTTTGGTCTATAGTCTACTTTCTGCAGAGAACATAATCATTTTAAACCCGGAACTTTGCACTCTTTGACCAACATCTGCCTTCTGCATAAGCATGAGACAAATGTAAGTAATTTTATTCAAAAGATAAAGTAATTTATCCCAAATCATGCATCAGTAGCAAAGACAGGATTTAAATGGACCTCTGAGTTCAGGTAAAGTGTTATTTTCTGTGTGAGAAGAACAGAGCTCTTCATAAAACAGTGTCAGTGCTCACACACTGGAAAAATCTACCTTGCCATTCTGAAGGAAGGATAGCTCAAACTTAATGACTTTTCCCTAAACTTTTAGCTCAGGTCAAAATGCACACTGATCACTGATTCTTTCCTTTGGTTATATGGTTCCACACTTCAGAGGCAAAGTAGAATATGCTTTTTTTAAAGTAGTTGATTTATCTTTAGGTTTGTTGGGATATATTTATTCTCAAAGTTAAAAGATCCTATAGTTTTAATTTCTCTCCTCAAAATACATTAGCAGAATTCATAAAGAGGAAGAAAGTAATGCAATCTGTTTTTAGCTTCTATCCTCAATTTTATCCGGGGGCTTACCATGCTAGCTTATGTGATCATTAGTTTTCCTTTTCTATGTGAAAACATAGTGGTGTGCACTAGACCTGGACCATTTTTTCCATTCAGTTTTCTCATGTTGTAAGTGTAATATATAATTACTCTAAAAATGTGTTTTTTTAAGATAGAAACTTAAAACTTGATATATCATCACTAAATTTTTTTAACTTTCTGATTCTCAATTTTCTCATGAGAATAATTATACTTCTTTAACATTGCTATACTGATATTAGAATTACTAAGAATTAAAGTTTTTTTAGGTTTAGGCATTGTATACTAAGTATACTAATGTAATTCTTACACTACATGAGGTGGGTACTATATTTATTCCAATTGTATAATCAAGGAAAATGAGTTTTTTTTTATTAGTGAAACACCATGAGGTACAGTTGTAGACTTACAAGTTTTTGTGGTTGGGTTTCAGTTGTACAATGATCAAGTACCCATCCCACCACCAGTGCCCATTCTCCACCCCCACCAATCCCAGTATCCCTCCCACCCCCTTTCCCCCATCCCACCCTGTCTCTGTGGCAGGGCACTCCCTTTTGTTCTCTCTCTCCTTGAGTGCTGTGATCTGCAGAAGAGACATTGGGTAGCATGTTCAATCTATAGTCTACTTTCAGCATGCATCTCCCATTCTGGGCGGATCTTCCCAGAACCCTTTATTTGGTGCTCCCTTCTCTATCTGAGCTGCCTTTACCCCTAGAGTGTGCAGCTGGCCTCTAAGCCATGGAGTGAACAACCTGGTATTTATCACAGCTGTTCTTGGGTGTTAGTCTCTTATTTTGTTACTTTATGTTACCCAGGTGAATGCGATCTTTCTATGTCTATCCCTCTCTTTTTGACTCATTTCGCTTAGCATGACATTTTCCATGTAGTACCACTTGTATGTAAATTTCATGACTTCATTTTTTCTAACAGCTACATAGTACTTCATTGTGTAGATGTACCAAAGTTTCTTTAACCAGTCATCTGTTCTCGGGCACTCAGGCTGAAAAATGAGATTTTGAGAATTTAACTTGTCAAAGGTTTACAAAGTCGTTAGCGATTAGTAAAGTAATAAACATAAAAACAGTTGGCAAATTCTAAACATTTAGCAATACCTTAAAAAGTTAGCAATACCTTCAGCTTTCCTTTGAGAATTTTTAGTAACTGTATCATAAGATACACCTCCATATTGTTTTCGTTCAAAAAAATCTTAGTGACTACATCAATGTGTCTAGCAAAAACCATGAAGAGGATTTCATGCCTTTCCTCTGCTGACAGGACAATTGCTGTGGCGTCAACGGCCCTTCAGACTGGCAGAAATACACATCTGCCTTCCGGAAGGAGAATATTGATGCCGACTATCCCTGGCCTCGCCAGTGCTGTGTTATGAGCAAACTTAAAGAGCCTCTTAACCTGGATGCCTGCAAACTAGGAGTGCCTGGTTATTATCACAGCCAGGTGAGTCCTCGCTCTTCTCAACACCTGCCAAACCTCTTCTGCTCCTCACGGGTAAATACTGTTAACAGTCGGTAATAACCTCTCAGTAAGGAATTGTGCCTCCTCTCCCCTAAATTTTAGGAAATATTAACTCTTTCCTTCTCTGTTAGTAAAATGGGAATGCTGATCCAGACCTAATCTGAAAGAGTTTACATTTAAAAAAAAACATGAGCATAGTAATAGCAAAATTCAGCTTTTTTAAAAAATTATAACTATCTGTACAATGCATAGAATTGGCATTTCAAAAAATAATTTATTTTAAACCAAAATTTGCCTTGTTAGTTTTTGAAAAATCAAAGTAATGGTAATTCTGAGAGTATATTTGTATATATGAGTGTGCATATGTGTCTATATATATAGACACACATATATGTGTACATATAATGTACATATGTATGTATCTATATTATAATGTATGCATAGATATATGTGTTAGATGCAAATATAAGGATTATAATTCTGGGTTCATTGGTCCCAGGAGTGCTTTGTGCAAATTCTGATAACTACACTTCAAGAATACTATGAGTGAATGAAGGAAGACCGTTCAATGATCTTTTAAGCACCCTTACAATAACTTAAGGGGGGAAAGCATCATGTAGAGGCAGTAAATGAAAAATGTATTGATAGTTTAAAAAACTCTCAGGCTCCAGGAGGGCAAGACCCAGTCCTGGGCCAAGCACCAAGCATCAGTGGTACCTTACACGTTTTTTGAAAAATGCCCCAATTGCCACTATAGGTCATGCTAAGAAATGATGCGCCCATAGAATGATGGAGCAAAAGATTTTCTCTGATTTTCAAGAAGGGCTTTGTTTCAGGTAAAGGGATATAGATGATAACCTTTTGGCATCTGTAAAGCAAGCCACGATGCCTAAAATAGAGAAACAGAAAGCTAGAGAGAGAAGAGAGGTGCTTTCTGTAGAGGCAAGCTGGGATGGGGGGGTGGGTTGAATTGGTGGGAGGGAAACTGGGGAGACTGGTGCTGGGAAATTGCACTGGTGGAGGGATGGGTGTTGGGATATTGTATAACTGAAACTCAATCATGAACAGCTTTGTAAGGGTCTATATAACAGTGATTCAATAGAAGAAGGAGAAGAAGAAGAAGAAGAAGAAGAAGAAGAAGAAGAAGAAGAAGAAGAAGAAGAAGAAGAAGAAGAAGAAGAAGAAGAAGAAGAAGAAGAAGAAGAAGAAGAAGAAGAAGAGGCTTTGTTTGGGTGATAGTCACACAGTGATCTGAATTAAGTGAGGAAATAATTCCACTCAAAGACAGAGAAAGAGTAAATTGCCTATGAAAAGACCCCAGATTGGGAGGAACAGTAACAAGATCAGCATGACAAGAGTCAAAATGAGTGAAGTCCATCTAGGAATGGACGTAGATATTTTCAGGCTTAACAGTCATAACATTTATGGGGTGCTTTGTCTTTTAAGAAAAGCAATTGGGGGCCAGAAAGGTCATTCAGAAGGTAAGGCACTTGCCTTGCACATGCAAACCCTGGTTGAATACCCAACACCACGTATGGTCCCCTGAGCCCTGCCAGGAGTAATCCCTGAGCTCAGAACCAGGAACAAGCCCTGAGCAGCACTAGGGGTGGCCCAAAAACAAAAACAAATTAGCAAAAAGGAAAATTAATTTCAAATATGTATATGCTTGCCCACAACTCACACATTCTCACTCTCCCTAGCATGTTCTCTCCAGCCTCAGAGACTTTTCCTTTGTCACATCTTTCCTCCTAAATCTTCCTCTCACAGACACACCTCATCTCCAGGGCTCTGTCCTCCACAACGCAGGGTTTCTAGTTCTTAGAATATCTCCCCATCCACACAGGGTTGGGGAAATGGGAGATACCCACAGTTCACTATAGCACCTTTGTGAGACTGAGTGATAGCCCTAATAAATGGGGTAGAAAACAGCCAGAATCCTTTTTTTTATTTTATAAAGTAGTTCACAATATTTGATTACATTTAATATTCAAACACCAGTCCCACCACCATTACATCTTCCCACCACTATATTTCGAATGTTTCTATCCTAAGCCCCAACCCCTGTCCCAAAGCAGAACCAAAACAATATATTTTGTATTATTTGCTATGAAAAACCACTTAAAATGCTACAAAAAAAGTATCCTGAGAGGAAAGAGTATGAAGATTGTTGTATTTCATCTAGGGGTCATTAAGACCTTCTGTAAATGATCACTAATGTGTTGTTAAAGGTTGATCTTTGTGTGCTTTTATATAAACATCTGTTTAAAAAAATTTTTCCTCTAAGACTGTTTCCCTCCTACTTTGAACACCATCAAATGTGGTGTAGTACTCTTAGAGTTTAGGTACGTTGTGTCCTATGAAGTGTCGCATGGCCAAGAATGCGGCCACGCAGTCCAGGAATAGGTTGACTCATGGGTGAGGCTCGTTCCAAGCATGGCAACTGTTGAGTTCTGGAGGTTTTCGGCTGCTGGGGCTGGATCCATTGGGGCCAGGAGGGGGTCTCACCCGCCTCCCTCTGGGGCACCCCGAGTAAAACAGCCTGGTGCGGGGGCCAGTGGCATGGTTATGGTGTCATGTTGTGCTCCCTTCTGGGAGAGAAGGACATTCGATCTAACAGCCAGAATTCTTTCCCTCAACAAGGCAATGTAAGTATCTAACTGTCCCCAGGTTGTGAGTTTTGCTAAACAGGACTTGGGGTGTTATTGATTCACATAGTGATCTGTGTTCTCACCCCTCTCCCTTTCTGGTCCCTTTGCTTTGTGGAATCAACGCTTCCTCCAGGGCTGCTATGAACTGATCTCTGGCCCATTGAACCGACAGGCCTGGGGAGTTGCCTGGTTTGGATTTGCCATTCTCTGCTGGACTGTGAGTACTTCAGGGTATTTGTATCTGTGAGAGAATGATGATGAGGCAAGACCTTCAGGTGGGAGTGCCAACCACACTAGCCTGGAAACAACCTCGGTTCTGGGGCCTCTCTGGCAGCTGGTGGGCCCAGAACAAGAACAGGGACAGTGAGGTGCTGTTGACTTGTTGCATGCAGGTGCTGGTGTTAATTCCCAATCAGGGAGAGAGAACAAGTCTGGCTGGCCAGATCTTTCTCCTGTCTGAGCTGGATGCCCCTGACAACTTCTCCAGGTCTTCTGATCTCATTAAATCATGGTAATTCGAGATCAAAGACAAGATCTTTTGAAGATTCTCCAGATGGCTTCTTCCAAAGAATTGCCTCCACCAGTCTCACCTTCGACCATATTGCCCACTTCGATTCATGTGCATGTTTCAAGAGAGAGGTTCAAGCCTTGGAGGCTTGGCTGCTCACCAAATCCTCCGAAGGGAGCTTTGAGGGGTTGGATCCTGACCTCAGAGAGTCTAACTCAGTTCGAATTGCACTAGGGAAAGAATCCAACTCCCCCACCACTACCAATGTGCCTGATTTGCCATCAGAATATAAAACCATTGCTTTGGGAAAGCAATCCCAAAATATGATTTCAGAACCCTTTATACTATCTAATATTATTGAGGATGTTACAAAGTGTTTTGCTATGAGTTGTATCTATTGGTATCTACCCTTTGGAAAATTAACACAAAAAATTAATACTGATTAACTCACTTATAAGTCAATAACATGTTAATGTTTAACTTTTCATGAAAAAAATAACTATTTTTCAAACTAAAAAATAGTGAGAAAAGTGGAAATGTTTCACTCTTTAATTGCATTAATTATTGTCTTAATTGTCTTAATTTAATTGGATTAATGGAAGACAACTGGATCCTCACATTTGCTGCTTCATGAAAGTAGTTATGTTTCTTAGGCTGAAGGATTTGACAAAACTCTATCTTAACAGAGATATGTCACTGTCACTGTCACTGTTCTCCCGCTGTTCATCGATTTGCTCGAGCGGGCCCAGTAACATCTCCAATGTGACACTTGTTACTGTGTTTGGCATATCGAATATGTCACAGGTAGCTTGCCAGGCTTTGCCATGTGGGTGAGATACTCTCGGTAGCTTGCTGGGTTCTCTGAGAGGGGCGGAGGAATTAAACCTGGGTTGGCTGGGTCAGCCGCATGCAAGGCAAATGCCCTACCCGCTGTGATATCGCTCCAGCCCAACAGAGATTTGTAACTAAAAAAATTTAATATTTTAGTAGGCTTATCTAAATATATTTTCAGTATCTTTCCTAGACACTACACAAAATTGGTCAAGTAGCAAGTAGTGTACTTAGGTGTTAGCTACAAGATGAAATATGAAACTCTGTCCACATACTCTTCAAATTGCAATATTGAGTACATAATACACAATACTGAGTCATCTTATACATTTCAGAACTCTTCTACTGGTGAATGAGTCTATAACATTATGCAGTAATTATGTGGGAAAACAGTTCACTGATATACCAATCTTTAATATTGACTGACTTATTCATGCAAAACAAAATAAAATGTGTTCATTGATATTGCAACATTGAAGAGACCTTAAATGTCAGGATACTTTTAAGCTCACAGTAACAAATACATGTTTTCTGATATTTCCTTCAAAGACAAATTTATCACTGCCAATAAATATTGTCAGTTGTTTGCTTGGAAGTGACAGGCTGTGAATTTTTGAGAAAATGCCTGCCAAACACCCAAATCTCAACACCATAGCTCATGTGTTAGTCTTTATTTCCAAGCAAAAACAGTGTTTATGAAAATAACGGGTAGTTCAGTGCACAACTCACATTTTTCCATAAGTCATACATATTTTACATATTTCCATGCATCACAAAACTACTTTATTCATACTTCCTCTGCATCATACAGAATATTTAAAAAGATAGATATGGGTCCAGAGCGACAGTACAATAGATAGGGTATTTGCCTTTTACCTTGATGACCCAGGTTCAATCCCCAGGACACCATATGGTCCCCTAAGCACTGCCAGGAGTGATACCTGAGGGTAGAGCCAGGAGTAAGATCTGAGTACAGCCAGATATTCCTCCCCCAAACCTCAAAAAAAGTACTCACAGGTGAACATTTAATACAATCAGGAATTCCCAATATTTCATCAAAAACCATCTCAAGTCAAATATTGGTTTTAATGCAGGTGAAGAGCCTTGATGAACACAAGGATTTTCATAAAGTAAAGTAAAGTAAAGGCCCTCCCATTGATCGTCGATTTGCTCGAGCGGGCCCAGTAACGTCTCCATTGGAGACTTTGTTGTTACTGTGTCTGGCATATCGAATACATCACAGGGAGCTTGCCAGGCTCTGCCGTGCGGGCGAGATACTCTCGGTAGCTTGCTGGGCTCTCCGAAAGGGGCAGAGGAATCGAACTTGGGTCGGCCATGTTGGCTGCGTGCAAGGCAAACGCCCTACCGCTGTGCTATCACTCCAGCCCTTCCTTGAGCAAATCGAAGGATTTCCATGCTCTTCCTTAATTCTTGCTCACATTGCAACAGATTTATCTTCCGCTGCTTTTGTACTACCAACCCAAAGATGGAAACAGTGAAAAAGGCAAATAAAGTCTATCTTTGTCCAAACAGTCTTAATATTCAGGTCATACCTCCCCAATAAAAGCCTAACTTTAAGAAAAATGGGTTAGAGTCAGGTTGCACTCAGTCGACCTGACTTTTATCCCCAGTACTGCATATAGTACCCCAAGCCCTGCCAGGAGTAAGCTCTGGCCTGGTGTGACTCCACCCCAAAAGCATATAGTAGTAAAAATAGAAAGATTGGAAAGATTGGATTGACATGAGAAACTGAGTTAAGCAAACATGGAAAAATGACCTTCCTCAATAGGCCCCGCATGACTCTCTTGAAGTATGACCCTCTTTACATTCTCAGGAACTCTCATGACACCCTGCATCCCTCTGCTATAGTCACTCCTCTGTAATGTGTTCGTCTTGGGGGGTGGGGAGTCTGAAACTAAGTACCACTTATACCCCCAGTGCATAGTTAAATGCATAATAACTTGCCAAAAGAATGAAAAGGGGTAATAGTGAAGGTCCTGTCTAGATCATGTTAACAGCAATCATGCCTCAAGCCTTTTGAGTATCTTAGAATTCCAGGACCATCTGAAACACAAGCATCAAATGGACTCCTGAAATTCTAGAAAGGAAGGGAAATGTAGTAAAGGTCTACTATGAACAAGGAGTCACATGCCCCTGAACCCGCACAATAGTAGCCATATAGGCGGCCAATCCCCCATCTTAGAAGAAATAGATTTTTTATGTTAATTTTATTGAATCACCATGAGATAGTTACAGGCTTTCATGTTTGGGTTATAACTACACAATGATCAAACACCCAACACCCAAACACCCAACCCTCCACCAGTGTATATTCCCCTCCACCAATATCCCCAGTATATCCCCCCTTTCCCATCCTCCTCCTGCCTCCATGGCAGACAATATTCCCCATACTCTTTCTCTCCTTTTGGGCATTATGGTTTGCAATACAAACACTGAGGGGTTATCATGTTTGGTCCTTTATCTACTTTCTTCACACATCTCCCATCCCGAATTGTTCCTCAAGCCACCATTTTCTTAGTGATCCCTTCTCTATTACAGCTGCCTTCTCCCCTTTGCTCATAAGGCAGGCTTTCACCTGTGGAGCAATCTTCCTGTCCTGTGTATCTACTATCCTTAGGCGTCAGTCTCATGTGATGTTGTTTTATACTCCACAAATGAGTGCAGTCCTTCTATGTCTGTCCCTCTCTTTCTGACTCATTTCACTTAGCATGATACTCTCCATGTCTTTCCATTTCTAAGCAAAGTTCATGACTTCATCTCTCCTGACAGCTGCATAGTATTCCATTGTATAGATATACCAAAGTTTCTTTAACCAGTCATCTGTTCTAGGGCACTTGGGTTGTTTCCAGGTTTTGGCTATTGTGAACAGTGCTGCAATGAACATATAGGTACAGATGTCATTTCTACTGTGCTTTTTGCATCCTCAGGATATATTCTGAGAAGTGGTATTGCGGGGTCATATGGAAGCTCAATTTCTAGTTTTTGAAGGACTGTTCATATTATTTTCCAGAAAGGCTGGACGAGTGGGAATTCACACCAACAATGAAAGAGCGTCCCTTTTTCCCCACATCCATGCCAGCACTGGTTGTTTTTGTTCTTCTGAATGTCTGGCACAGATCTTAGATACTGCAACTCCTTGCCTGAGTTAAGTATCTTGAGTTCTGTTACATATTCTTCAGACCATTCTAGCTGAGTCCCAGTGCTCATTCTGTCCCTAAAATGACGCTCAAGATTTCTTTAAAAACCGGGATCACCTATGTCTGAATGAACTTAACACCTTTTGCCCCTAGTATGTTTCTAGAAATTATTCCTTATTTATGTTCTGTTATTCTCTTTCCCCCCCCCCCTTGTATTCTAGTTTTGGGTTCTGCTGGGTACCATGTTCTACTGGAGCAGAATTGAATATTAAAATAAAGCATCGTCATCCTATCGCCTCTGCCAATGACTTCAATTTAAGGTGCTGAAGATGAGCTCTCCTAATATTTTCCATCTGTGCATTGTCCCAGGAACGCCTGCATCCTCACCAAAATGGCCAAGTCTGTTGGAATAAGCTTATTGAAACTCTAAAATTCTCATCACTCATGTTTTCACCTCAGTCAGCTACATTTTTGTAGACTGTAAGAGAGAAGAGATACGGAAAATGAATAATAAGAGTGCCCATCCCTGTTTATTTTTAATTTGAGGGTTAAAGACATTTCAAAAGAACTAATATTATCATGGCAAGCGAAGTCTAAGTTTGGAGAGCAAATCTGCCTGCATTTTTTTTATATTTTATAAAAAGAAACCTTCAAAGATTTTCCTTTATCTCAGCATTGTCTGGTGAAAGAAATAAGAAAAAGGCTGCTGAAACGTATCTTTTGCCTTTTGTTCTATGAGGTCCTCCACCTCAGGAGACTAAGATGGTTTCTTAATGCTACTCTGGGACCCTTTTATTCTCCAGAACAATGCCTGATTGTGAGTTGATCTTGAATTAACAATGGGTGAAATTTCCTGTCAGACATGGCAGAGTGATAGATGTTTAGCAAACTCAAACTTTCCTTTAATTAAAACTATGCAGGGGTCAGGGAGATGGCTCAAATGCTTGGAGCACATGCTGGGACGCAGAGACCTCCTGGTCATGCAAACACTGCAGGGAGAGACCCCCCGAAAACATTGACGCTGAGTACCACCGGAGATGGCTCAGAAACCAAAATAATTTTTCAAAAGATTATGTGGACTAGAGGGACAAAATAGTTGCTTGTTATATATTAATCAGTCTCAATTTAAAACACCTTTTAAATCGGGGATGTTGATACATGAGGGATTTCTAGCGACTCTGGCGTACTGTCAAAATATTTCTCTTCTAAACTGTTTCCATTTGTGCTCCTGAAAGAGGTTCTTAGAATTCTGTATTCGTCTAATATTTAAAAAATAAAGCAAACTTTTAACTATATTCACCTCCTTTTGTTTTCAATGGTGTCATCATGTATGAGTCGAATAAAACGGGTTTCCAACAGAACCTACTTGATTCATGGGAATTAAAGATAAAGGGGTGGAAATTGCAACAGGACAGGGCGTGGCTTCCAACCCAATGCCAGGCAACCCTGATCTACAATTACTTGGTTGTAATTTCTCCCTTTACTTCACTCCTGTGGTGATAGAGCCATCACTGCTCAGTCCTGCCCTCCCTGTGCTTGGAAACAATGGAGGCATCTCTCTTTCCAACCACCAAGCTGTGCCCACCATAAAGAAAACATTTCTGCTCCTTTGGGATCTTATCCCCATCTTATACCGCAAAACAGTTTCCTCTGAAACAGAGGACAAGAGAGAGAAGCTGAGATGAGGGGAAAAAAAGAAGCAATGCCTTTTGGATAGAGCACTTCTGCCTTATACCTGGTGGCTAAGCTGAGGCAGCAGCCTGGAGACAGGGCCCCTCCTTCCCTTGGCTCGCCAAGACAAGATTTGGGGTGCCAAGAGAGAGGGGAACTGCATTTGCTGGGAAGGTTCTGTCTGTGTGTTAGGAGAGTCAGGAGAAGGGGAGACTCACTTTAGCATTCTCTCCTCCTGCCCTCATCTGGGACAGATCTCCCACCTTCTGTTGTCTTTCTCTTCCAACTGCTCACCTGGTTAGTGGGCAGGCTCAAGCTCTCTGTGGCTGAGCAGATCCTGCCTCACACCCAATCCTGCCTTTCCCTTCAGGGCCTTTATTTACACTGTGCCTTTCTAGCTATAAAAGCTTGGCTTCAGCTTGGCTAGATTAAGAAAAATCAACTCACAATTATCTTATATTGAGAACTTGTTCACCTGAAGGGTTGAGTGACAACTGGCTCCCACGCTAATCTCTACAGATTTTCCCATCATTGAAATTCCTCTCATCTTGGTAGAGCTGGGGCAGGCAGGTAGGCAGTGACTGTCTCTATACACACACACACACACACACACACACACACACACTCCCAATGAGTTCTTGGGGCATAATAAAAATGAGATGGGATTTGAAGAAGTTACTCTGTCACCAGCACGAAAGCATTATTGCCCAGACCCACTTTGTGGACACAGGAGCTAAGACCTGATAAGACTTTTAAACGGTGCCAACCCAGACCCAGAGAACGCTGGGTTCTCTTCCCCCGCAAGAAGAGAATCAACAAGAACAAAGGACTGTGATAAGGGCATGGAGGAAGATCATCAGAGGTTTCCATCTTCTCCTTGACAACACCTAGCAACGTACTCTAACCTAGGTAGAAAGCCCCACACGGGGGAAGTTTGGGGAAAGTGTGTAGAAAGTAATGTAGACAAAGGAAAACTGTACATGTTGCCAGCCCATGCACATGATCCTTGCATGCACATGCCACCCGCATCTCCCCTCTTAAGGTGTGTACTCTCCTCCCCTCCCCTCCCCTCCGCTTCCCTCCCCTCCCCTCCGCTTTCCTCCCCTCCCCTCCCCTCCCCTCCCCTCCTCTCCTCTCCTCTCCTCTCCTCTCCTCTCCTCTCCTCTCCTCTCCTCTGTTCTCTTCTCTTCCCTCTCCTCTTCCCTCTCCTCCCCTCTCCCCTCCCCTCCCCTCTCCTCTCCTCTCCTCTGTTCTCTTCCCTCTCCCCTCCCCTCTCCCTTCCCCTCCCCTCTCCCTTCCCCTCCCCTCTCCTCTCCTCTCCTCTCCTCTGTTCTCTTCTCTTCCCTCTCCTCTTCCCTCCCCTCCCCTCTCCCCTCCTCTCCCCTCCCCTCTCCTCTCCTCTCCTTCCCTCTCCTCTCCTCTCCTCTCCTCTCCTTTCTTCTCCTCTCCTCTCCTCTCCGCTCCCCTCCCCTCACTTCTCCTCTCCTCTCTCCCCTCCCCTCTCCTCTCCCTCCCCCCTCCCTCCTTTCCTTCTTCATAATCTGTAAACAAAACTGTTTCACTTCATTATTCATCTAGTCCTGAAATTCTTTCCCATGAGGGTCAGAGGACAAACCCAGAAAAGCCAGGATAAGGTCTAGGACAGACCTTTCCTACAAAGGGCAATTCCTGCTCCAGGTCTGAGTTCATGGCTCCCTGGGAAATCAGGTGACAGGGCTCCTCTCCCACACCACACAGAACAAGTAGACTTCGGTACTCAGGTCCTGGCAGCCGCCTAATAGGGCTGACGAGATACCAGTTTTGTACTGTGCACAGACTCACCGAAGACATTTCCAGTCCTAAGTGTTCTGGTTCTATCCCTGTTCCATATGATACGCTAAGCACTTGTAGGAGTGATCCCTGAGTGCAGAGCCAAGAGTAAGCTCTGAGCATCACTGTGCCCCCACTGACCCCCCAAAAACTAGAACTAGTCACTGCCCTTACCTTCTCTACCACTAACTTCTACCTTAGTTGTAGAGAAAGGAGTCGGGGCAGTGGAAAATAAATCTAAAATGAAATTGCCTCACCCTGAAGTAACCCAAAGATACAAGGAAAAACACATCCCCTAGGATGCAAATACTGAACTCTTTGGTGATGGAAAAATTCAGGCACTACCCAGAGAAGGGTGAACCCTCCAATAAAGAGAAGCTAAAGGCCAGTATGAAACAGGCTTTCGCTGTGAGAATACCCAGATTAACTTTCCACGTACACAGAGAATTCCAAGCCTAGAGAAATCGAAAAAAATTATATATAATTTTCTCCCAAAAGCCGTTCTCTGCTTTTTCCCTAAGGAGAAGCCCGTTTGACAGCAGCCTTGTGGGTCTGGTAGGACACAAGTGTTCATGCTATATGGATTTTCTTAACAGACTTAACCAGTCCTGACTCACAGTAGGCATTTTCCTGGGTGGCCAAAGTGGTTGGCCTAGGTGGGTGGAGCAGAACGGTTTTGACTATTTTCTCAAGGCTGCCTTTTCACTTCCCACTTCACCCAGGTCACACACACCACAGTGTGAACAGACAGTTCTCCCAGAACCACATATGCCCCTGAACCTGAGCTTCCTGAATACACAAACCTAACTCTTAAAGAGGCTGAACACACCTTTCTGCTAAGACAGGCCCAGCCCTAAGGACTCCCCTCAGGAAGGAGCCATTAGGTTCCTTGCACGACTGCAGGCTCTTATTTGATCTCAGAGTAGCTTCTTCTCAGCCCTTGTCCCACTTCCATCGCCCTCTGCCTTCCTTGCCAAGTCCAAATTTTCTGTCTTCCCTCTGACTTCTGGGATGAGAAGCAGGGCTCCTGATGAGATTGGAGTCACTGTTCAGAGGGAGGCCCAAGCCCAGCTTTACCAAAGTCACACAGAAGAAGAATGGAGGCTGGGAGAGCTGGACTCGCTCCACCCAACAAAGACCTCTTGTAACGTGTCCCTCTCTCCAACAGTCACTTGGCCTTTTTCTCATGTGGACCAAGAACAATAACCACCCGACACCAAACATGTGTCAGGTTCACTCTGGGGAAGACCTCCTTTGGGCTACCTGAGGGGTCATCATACTTTCTTGGTTATTGGCTTTTTTCCAGGATTGACTCTTGGCAAAAGAACAAAGGTTGGAGAGGCCACCATTCCTCATTTTCAGTCCTGTAACCTTCCTACTTGTTTACATCAGCTGAAACAGGCAGGTATCGCTCCTATTCAAAGTCGCAGATCATGTACTTTGGCATTATAAAGAAACAAAGGAATAGAGAAAGTCATGTCCAGAGAAAATATCAAGTCTCCCCTCAACACCCAACCAATCTGACAGGTAATGAATGAGGTACTGAAAACTGTACTGGTTTCTCATTTCTGTTAACCGAATCATCTCGTTTCTCCTGAGGTAGCTAGCCTGCCCTCTTGCCTCTCTTCCCTGCTTCACTTCACGGAATCAAAAATGAAATCCAGAGGAGGACATTGATCAGATGCCAGCATGGTTTTTATGTAAGACATTTTCAATCATAAGTCTTGATCATTCTCCTCCACTGAAGAGGTTAAAATAAAATTATAAAAAAAGAAAAAAAAGTAAGGTGGAGTTCATGCCCAATTCAATCAGCTAACCAGTGGCTGAATAAATAGCAGTACTCCTACATAAAAAAAAAAATTACAGAAAAAGGAAGCATGGCTAAGAAAATGCACCACACCCAGACCCTTCTTCAACCAAAATTACCCCAGGGCCAGAAATATAGTACAGGGTTTAAGGCACGTGTCTCTCAGCGATCCCAGTTTGATCCTCAGCACTCTACAGCCTCCAAGCACAGCCTGGGATCACTCTCAAGCACAGGAACAGCCCCTGAGTAAATCTCAAGTGTGCCCCTCTCAAAAAAAGTCACCCCACGGGGGTATGGTGCCGCCAGCAGGTCACTCTGTACCTGTGAGGCGAGTGCATCAGCAGCCTGATGGCGCCTTCAGACTTCCAGATACCTCAAAATTGCTGCTGTGCCTTTGACCAGACCCCAAAAACTTGGGGCAAACTTTACCAAGAAAGTAAACGGCCAAAAGTTAGGTATGTGGGAGACACACCTACAAACCACCTCCGGCTCAGCTATATAATTGGAGGCATGGCCTCTCTGGTTCCTGATTGAACTGCTTAATGGCCATGATCCCAGAGACTCAGAAACAAATCTTGAAACCCAACGGCTTTTGGCAAAAATGTGTCCAGTCCCTGAAGTGGGTTGCAGGTGCTGGGCCACCCCAGGTTGGAATAGGTTTTGTGCCTTGGCCTGTTCCCCCTGGCGGCCCAGTGACCACCATCCTTCAGAGGCCACTGGACAGTCAGGTTTGGACCCCCCAGTGATGAGACATGCAGGGCCTCACGGGATGGGGGTGGAGCCGGTCCTGTCCTCCCCACCTCAACGAGACCCCAAGTCATCGCCCACAAACGGCCTCTCTGGCTCCTGATCAAGTTGCTTAACGGCCATGATCCCAGAGACTCAGAAACAAATCTTGAATCCCAGTGGCTTTTGGTAGAAATGCGTTTGGATCCCACAGTACGTTACTGTCGCCGGGTCAACCCAGTGGGGAAAGGGTGTTGTCACTCCACCTGCTCCCCC